AATTGAATGACACTACTAAATTTCGATTTGAAAAGGTTTTGTCTGACCAAAATTTACTTATACTACTTAGTTCCTCATTGAATCGGTTCTGCCTTACAAAAATTGTCTTGTACTACTTAAATCAAAATAATCCTTACTTAAAAACATTTTGTATGACTAAAACAGTATTCCTCTACTGTTAAAAATATTTTTAGTCGGACTGAAATTAAGTTACACTACTAAATTCCAATTTGAAAAGGTTTTGTCTGACTAAATTTGGCTTCTACTACTTACTTTAAGGAAATTATTATTTGCATGCGTTAGGTCTGACTAAATCCGTCTTCTACTACTTAAAAAAGAATAATTCTATTTCAAATCGTTTTGTCTGACTAAAATTGAGTTATACTACTTAATTCCCCTTTGAAAGAGTTTTGTCTGACTAAGACTGTCTTCTACTACTTATATCGAAGAAATTTCGAATTAAAACCGTTTTGTCCGACTAAAATTGATCTACTCAGCAATGAAAAAATCAAAAAAAAAATTTGTCCAAAAAATTTCCAACTCTGACTATAAGTGTATTTTATTACATATCCAATAACTTTAGATAAATTTGAAAAATAGAATCAAACCTGCCCTTTTTTTTGCGAGAAAAAAATTCATTCACATTGTTGGCTGATGTAATTATTATTTAAAGCCTCAGATGTCGTTGCTCTCTCTCTCTCTCTAATTTCTGTATATAAAATTTTTTTTTAGGTCCTACAAGATTATTTGCATTGATGAAGTAGGGTGAGACAAGTATTAACTTGCACAAGCAGAGAAGAGAGGTAGACCCAAGGATGGTGTTCCACCTTTTTTCAGAGCCTTATTTTCACAGCTTTACAGTTTTCTCTTTTATGTTCACTTTTCTCCTCATCCGCCCTCGTGTTTGCCGAAGCCTTCGTGCTTCTTGCCTTGCACACTTTCATTTCTGTCTCGAGGCACCACTCAAAACATGCCGTGTCGTCAACTTTACACCAATACACACTCACATTGTATCTTCCACTTTTGTGCATACATGTGTATGTGTATGAAAAAAACAAAATTGTATATTTTCAAATTTTACTTTTTTTACTTTGATATCATCATTTTTGAATATTCAATGACAACAAAATTTTCTTTACGTTCAAACTAAATTTTTATAATTCAAGGAAATATTTTACAATTGTGATTTATAATTTTTTGCAATAACTGACAGGGGAAAAAAATATTTATCTGAAACAGCGATATATTTCACTGGAATAGCAAAAACTTTCTCTATTTTTGTGACAAAATATCGCTCTTCCATGTAAAACTCATATAGTTGTTCCAGGTAATTTTTGTCCGTGATATAATTCTTTTTTGAAGGGAAAATAAAAAATTTTTTTGTAGGTTAAATAAAGATGAATTTAAAAAAAATTATATTTGAAGATTAAAAGCACACGATATTTTGATACATGTATATGTATATATATATAGGTGTAAAGGGGGAATGAAATATGCCTGCCTACCGAATGAACGAGCCCGTCGTTTCCGCGTTAAGCAAGTTTAATCAACACTTCGCTGCACTCTGCTCCTATATCCTGTGCAATTAGTCATAACGAATTGTTCCTCCTAGACGCCCAGATATCGCAGCTGCTAAAGCGCAATGCATTAAAAGCTACCGGCTTGAATTTGACTGTAAAATTTACATTCATAATAGGCCTTGACAGAGAAGTCTAATTAAGTATAATAGAACAAGAAAATGAGTTTCACGTAAACGCGACTGTCCAAAAGTAGATTAATGTTTTTTGGTTACTTCCGTCTATATTAATAACAAAAGCAGAAATAAATTTTTTCTGTAATATTCACATATTTTTAAATAAAATTTTTTAAATAAAATTTTTTAATTTCAATATCTTTTGTAAGTGAAAAAGAAAAAAATTGTTGAATAATGTCTAAGGCAAACCGATTTTTACTTTTACTACTGATTGTCCAATGACTTAGAATTTTTGGTCTGATTAAAATTGACTTAGACTACTAGACATGAAACTAATCATAAGTCGGACTAAAATTGAGTTATACTACTAAATTCCGCTTTGAAAAATGTTTGTCTGACTAAAATTGGTTTTTACTACTTAAATTAAAAAAAATTTATTTTAATACGTTACGTCTGACTAAAATTGTCCATCACTACTTAAATAAAGGAAAATTTCTTTCTTCAAACTTTTCGAATGACTGGGCTTTTACTACTAGGAATTAATTTACATCAAATACATTTTGTCTGACTAAAACTGTCTTGTACTACTTAAATGAAATATAATTCTATTTGAAAATGTTTTGTCTGACTGTAACTGTATTTTTCTACTGATAATTCAATAATAAGTCTAACTAAATATGGCTTGAACTACTAAATTTCTATTCTAAAATTTTTTGTTTGACTAAAATCGTCTTCTACTACTTCAAAGTTAAAGAAATTATTTTACTACGTTTTGTATGACTATTATTGACTTTTACTACTTAAATTAAAGAAATTCCTATTTCACAACGTTTTGTCTGACTATAACAGTATTTTTCTACTGTTGCAGATATTACAAGTCTGACTAAAGTTAAGTTACACTACAGAATTAAGATTTGACAAGGGTTTGTCTGACTAAAATTGGCTTCTACTACTTAAGTTAAAGAAGTTTTTATTTTCAACCATTTCGTCTGACTAAAATTGACTTAGACTACTAGACATGAAACTAATCATAAGTCTGACTAAAATTGAGTTATACTACTAAATTCCGTTTTGAAAAATGTTTGTTTGACTAAAATTGGTTTCTACTACTTAAATGAAAGAAATTTTTATTTTAATACGTTACGTCTGACTAAAATTGTCCATCACTACTTAAATTAAGGAAAATTTCTTTCTTCAAACTTTTCGAATGACTGGGCTTTTACTACTGGGAATTAATTTACAACAAATACATTTTGTCTGACTAAAACTGTATTGTACTACTTAAATAAAAAATAAGTCTATTTGAAAATGTTTTGTCTGACTGTAACTGCATTTTTCTACTGATAATTCAATAATAAGTCTAACTAAATATGGCTTGAACTACTAAATTTCTATTCTAAAACTTTTTGTTTTACTAAAATCGTCTTCTACTACTTCAAAGTTAAAGAAATTATTTTATTACGTTTTGTATGACTATTATTGACTTTTACTACGTAAATAAAAGAAATTCCTATTTCACAACGTTTTGTCTGACTAAAACAGTATTTTTCTACTGTTGCAGATATTACAAGTCTGACTAAAGTTAAGTTACACTACTGAATTAAGATTTGACAAGGGTATTATCTGACTAAACTTGGCTTCTTCTACTTAAGTTAAAGAAATTTTTATTTTCAATCATTTCTGTATTTTTCTACTGATAATTAAACAATAAGTCTAACTAAATATAGCTTGAACTACTAAATTTCTATTCTAAAATTTTTTGTCTGACTAAAATTGTCTTTGACTAGTTAAATTAAAGAAATTTTCATTTAGTATGACTAAAAGTATCATCTACTACTTAAATGAAATTAAGATTCTTTTTTATAACGTTCTGTCTGAACAAAAATGTCTTGTACTACCTAAAATAAAGAAATTCCTATTCTAAATCGTTTTTCTGATTGTAATGATCTTTTTCTACTGTTAAAAAAGTAATAAATCTAACTAATATTGACATACACTAATAAATTTGCATTTTAAAATGTTTTGTCTGACTAAAATCGTCTTCTACTACTTAAAAGTTAAAGAAATTATTTTATTATGTTTCGTCTAACTATTATTGGCTTTTACTACTTAAATTAAAGAAATTCCTATTTCACAACGTTTTGTCTGACTATAACAGTATTTTTCTACTGTTGCAGATATTACAAGTCTGACTAAAATTAAGTTACACTACTGAATTACGATTTGACAAGGGTTTGTCTGACTAAAATTGGCTTCTACTACTTAAGTTAAAGAAATTATTATTTTTATCCCTTTCGTCTGACTAAAATTGTCTTCTACTACTTAAAGAAATGATAATTCTATTTTAAAAAGTTTTGTCTGATTGAAATTGAGTTATACTACTTAATTCTTCTTTGAACCGGTTTTGTCTGACTGAAGTTGTCTTCTACCATTTAAAAATTGAATAAATTATATTATTATACTACAATTGGTTGCAACTACTTAAAATAAAAAAAATTCTTACTTAACAACATTTTGTCTGTATAAAAACGAATTTTTCTACTGTTGAAGATATTACAAGTCTGGATAAAATTGAGTTACACTACTGTAGTCCGATTTGAAAAGGTGTTGTCTGACCGAAATTGGCTTCTACTACTTAAGTTAAAGAAGTTCTTATTTTCATTCGTTTCGTCTGACTGAAATTGTCTTCTACTACTTAAAGAAAGGATAATTCTATTTATAAAATTTTGTCTGACTAAAATTAAGTTGTACTACTTAATTCCTCTTTGAAACAGTTTTGCCTGACTAAAATTGTCTTCTATTATACTGAAATTAAGGACATCCCTTCTTTAAAACGTTTTGTTTATTAACTTTTTATATTTTGTCTTCTTTTACTACTAAAGAAATTATAAGTCTTAAAATCGAGTTACACTACTAAATTCCTATGTTTTTTCTAAGTCAAACTTATTTTACTATTATTTTAGATAAAAAAATTTCCATTTTTGGAAAATTTATCTCATTTATTATTTAAATAAACTATTTTCCCTTTTTTGAAATGAAAATAAATTCAAAAACAAAAACCATAATAATATAGTTAAATTATAGTTAAAACAAAGTAGATAAATCAAGTGTATAATGGTTCCCTAAGCATATCGTTGAGAGAGAAAGAGAAAGAGAGTAAGACTTAAAATGAAGAAGTCAACACTTTTGGTACATGTATATATATATACGTGACCGGAAGTTTCTTGGTGTTACTTTATTCATTTCTCCATTCTCCCTAGATTCCCATAAAAGCGCAACAAAATATGGTAGACATTTGTAAACTTACCGGCAAGTACGAGGCGAGCGTATGAGGAACTTTCCACTGTATCCCCAGTGACACGATGAACAGTACGACATCGGTAACTGAAATGCGCATCCGCTGATGTTACAGTGAAAACAAGTAGTTCTCCAGTTGGTAACATGTGATATTTTCCATCTGCAACAATAGAATCCTTGTTTCAAAGTGATCCTGAAATTACAACCTGCTATTGCTACTATTGCAGCGAATATATATATATATATATATATATATATATATATATATATATATATACTAATTATAACCTGAGGTGAAATGGCAATCATAGCCAGCACGTTTCATAAGCTACCACCATATACACATTCAAAGGAAAATAGAGATGGAACCTGTCTCCAAGAGGGAGAGAGTGTTAATATTAGTTCATTAAATCCAGAAGGGCGTATCTCCTGAGGGTTTAAATTGCTAACTCTCGTGTCCATAATTGTACGATACAAACTGTCAACAATGGCAAATTTAATTCTGTATTGATATTCGAATTATTGTTTACATTTTTTTTTAATTGCGTGTAAAGTATTGAGATTTGTTTTGATGCCCTTTTAGAAATTTATAACTGGCGGAGTACTGGTTCAGTACTGGCGGTATTGTCCCTAAAGGTAGCGTAAGTTAGGGATGATAACTTTCTTCATTCGAATCAGTGGATTTTTACTGATTTAGTGGTATATTTTTACTGATAAATGGTCCTATAATTTTCATTACTAAATTAGAATTTGTTTATAAATTATTTATGAACTGAATTTGCTATTTTTACTCAGTTTATTCGCAGAACTATGAAAAAACGCGAACCTATGAAATAAATAAAATTAACACAAGGGGGATCGAACCCATGACCTATGGACTTAGAGCCTAACGCACTAACCACTAAGCTAACACTACACGACTTTTATTTCTACCTATAATTAACTTAATTTAATTTTTAATACAAAAATAATGATTCAATTAAAAAATAATAAATGAGTAATAAATAATAATTAATTATTAATTATTAATTATTAATTATTAATTATTAATTATTAATTATTAATTATTAATTATTAATTATTAATTATTAATTATTATATAATAATAAAATGCTTGGTCTGTCCTTCTGTCCTAACTTGAAGTTGGCCTTTTCTGATTATACGTGTTTTTTTTTTAAATAGTAATCTTATGACGTGTCAAATTTTGACAATTCTTTTTCTCATTTTTGCCAAAGTTGTATAATTGTGTTTCCAAATTTCGGAATAAGTTTCATTAAAATTCCAAATTCGAAAATTCACTTCACGAAGCTGAAGTATACACAACGTTTAACAACGAAATTTTTTTTAAAGTTGTATATTGATTCAAAAATTGTATACAAATACAAAAAATTTATGATGAGAAAAAAGATGCGCCAGGAAATTTCGTACAAGATAGTAATTTGAAAAAAATTTATTTTTAAAAATTAATTTTTAAGGTACCAGGGGCCAACGATTACCTATTAAATATTAATTATAAAAACACAGGCCTCGAATCAACTTAAAGACACAAAAGAAGTCGTTTTAGTCGATTTATATTCCAAAAAAATAGTGGATTTGTTTTTTATTTTAACAAAAATATTTTACAGATTTTTAAATAAAAAAATTTTTTTTTTAATAATAATCCATTTCGAAGGGTTAAAGTTGAAATTTTTAGAAATAATTAAATTTTAAAAGATATATTGTTAATTTTCAAACAATTATTAAATTTTACAGAACTAAAAATAATTTATCAAACAATTTTTGGAAAACATTTTTTAAATTTAATTGAATTTTCAAAGATTTAAAATTGAGATTTTTGAAATTAATTGAAACTTTAAGTGTTTTGTAATTTAAATTTTAGATGATTTCACTAAAAATTTATTAGAAAATGCGGAGAAAATACAATAATTTGAAAATCATTTTTAATTGAAAAATGGTTTCAGATAGTTGAAATTTCAAAGAATGTTATTAAAATAGTTAAAAATAATTGAATTTCCTTAGAGTTATAATTGAAATTATTAAATTTCAAAACGAAAAATTTTCGATGGAAAATTTTAGAAATAATTAAATTTTTAGATGCTTTTAAATTCAAATTATTGAAAATTCAATTAATTTTGAATTTAACTTTTTGAGAATAATGAAATTTTATTTGATTTTAAATTTGGAAAATAATTGAATTTCAGTTCATTTTGAATTGAAAATTTTAGGAAATAATTGAATTTTAATTGAAATTTTGGATAATAATTTAATTTAAGTTCATTTTTGATTGAAAATTTAAATAATTAATTTTGAATAGAAATTTTAGAAAATAATTGAATTTTATTTCATTTTAAATTGAAAACTTGGTAAATAATTAAATTTTAAATTGAAAATTTTTGATATTTATTGAATTTTAATTGATTTTGAATTAAAATTTCGGGTAATAATTGAATCTTAGTTTATTTTGAATAGAAATTTTAAAAAAATAATTCAATTTTATTGTGATATTTTTTTTTTTAAATTATAAACAATTGTTGAATTTCATAAAAATTTTAATTGAAAAATTATTTTGAAATAATTGAATTTGTGATGTATTCAATTAAAATTAATAAAAATAATTAATTTAGTGAAGAATCATTTTAGTTCAAAATTTGTTAAATAATTGAATTGAAGAAGATCTGAAGAAGATATAATTTTTATACTAAAAAAATATATTTTATTTACATTTTCTTTTCAAATGAAAAAAAAAATGTCGCATTTAATTAAAATAAGTCGATAAAAGTCGTATTTTTGAAAAAAGTCGGAAAAAGTCGTATTAATCCGCGGTCTGTATAAGCATATAATTTTCATTATTATCATTTAATATGTAATAATATTCTAATAAATTAAATTATTATTGATAATATTAATCTTTAATTTCTTTATAACAAATAATTAAATACTGAATTTAATTTTGCTAGTAATAAATAAATGAAGTAGAAAAATAATAAATACTAAATTTAGATTTGAAAATTGAGTTTAAAATTGATTTTTTTTGTTTGTATAAAATATATTTACCTATATTTAAGGGAATTAAAGAAAGTGCAAATTTACGGTTGAAAGCAAGTGGATCACCCTGTATGTTATTCAACCGTCTATAATGGAGATCTTAATCCTCTGGTGGGACTTGCGGAACGCATAGAGAGGGTTGAACATGGTTAGGAGTCAAGCCAAGCGTTAATGCAGGAAGAAATATGCAGATCGCTTTGCTAATTACAGTGGAAAGTTGTTTGTAATTTAAATTACGAACAAAGTGTTGTTAAACAATTTATACGGTTCGGGAATATCTAATGAACAAATTCTTGTTTATTGAATTATTTCAATATAATGGGAAAAACAAATAATTATTATATTTATTTTAAAATCAATTTTTCAAATAAATATTTATTTTCAAAAATTTGAATTTTGATGAAATAATTTTATTTGCAAAAAAAAATTTTCTCTAAAAGCTCGAATCAGGGTATTTTGAAATTATATATTTTTTTTTAATAATATATATATATTATTGTATAACAGTTTTGCGAGTTTATACGATTATTTCTGACTTGGTTGCGAGACACAATATCGTCTTTTATATGATTCACGATCGATTTCTATAAACTATATTTTCATATAAGTACTATGGCTTCTTCAACTATTGTCAAAGTTTAGTTAAAGCTTCTTTATGGCTGCTGGTAAACGCAGTCTCTCTGTTCATGCAACGGTCTACTAGACATTGGGTTTCATACAAAAGTAAAATCAACTTAGTTTCAGTCTCTTCGATTGTAGATACTTCAAATAGTGACAGACAGAGAGTTTAAAGTATATCAATATAAACCCTCAAAAAAGCACCCTTAAAAGTTTATTGCATTAAAAAAAAAACAAAATTATCTTTTCTCAATTTTCGCTTTTAATAAAAAACGAAAAACTAATTAGCTATTACCAAACAAAAATTAAATTATAGAAAAAAATTTAGTCTCTAAAAATACTAAATAATCAACTATTTTATAAAAGAATAATATATTTAAATTGTGTTCGCAAAGGACATAATTTCGTTTTACAAAAGAATATTTTATTTTCCAGGACAAATTTCTATATATATATATATAGAGGTGAAATTTAATTTGTTACCAACGTTATTTTTTTTTGTTCAACAATTCCCTTGGAGACTTGTTTAAAATTTGTGTACACAAAAAATGAGCTCTTCAAATATTGTTAACGAAATCGATAAATTCCTCTACTGTACACAGTTCCATTGGAATTACAATTACGAGCTCGATTTTGCATTTCATTATCAGCTATTCGAGAAACGTTAATTTTGCTCTACAAAGAGTTTTGTGCTAGTATAAATGTGAAAAATTCAAATAATTCAATACCGATTGATGACCGACTTTTTATTTTTACATTGCAGTTCGTTTTATCCAAAAAAATAAAGGGAGTAAATTGATGGTTGAAGAAAACAAAAAAAAAAAATTCGTAGCCTCTTTAATTTTTTATTTAACTAAAAACTTGAAAACTATTGCTTTTTTTGAATTTCATTTACATATATGTGAATAATACTATAGGCTATATAGTTGATTAAATCATATTCCCCCCCGGCTTAATTCAAAATACCGTTTTGAAAGGTAGCGTGCATTTTATTCCTCTCTGTTATTAGACCTTATTGCAGTAGATGGTAATAAACGCCGGTTTGCGAAAAAAGGCAAAAAAAAAAAAAATTAATTGACAATATCCACTGAATCGAGAAGCTTAGAGAATTTTTAATGAAGCAAATTTTAATAAATACAGAAACAGATTTTTGCATTTTTTCAATAAAATACTCTAATTTAAAATTGCTTTTAATATAAATAAAATATAAAAAGAAATATTAAAATACTTTTAAAAATTATTTTTTTTTTCAAGTCTACAAAGAACAATTGTTTTTTATGAAAAATAATTGTTTTTATTATTTTAGAATTAGATTTTCTGTATAATAATGTTTTGCTTGAAAATTGTTTAAATGACACACTCACCACTCTCATGAGAGGGGTAGATGTTGAAAACAGAGTCTTGAACCCATGATGTTACTGCAATGTACTCCTTGACAAAAGCTGGAATTTCACATCTGAGTACACCTGTATTTCCCGAGAAAACGTACGCATCTCGTACTTGTACCTCGTACTTTTGACGCACCACTGAAAATTAGCAAAATCTCTGTTGTACTCTATAATTAGATAAATGGAAAACATAAATTTACTTCAGGAATAATATTTTTCTTCATTTTGATAATTATTTTTCTCTTTGAATTCGTAAAAAAAAAATTCGTAGAAAATAAATATCAAATTAAGTATTTTCAAATTGTGAAAAATATATGATAAAAAAGGGAAATTTCCATACAAGAAATAAATTTTTATAAAATTTACAATATTATATTTATTTGATAGAAATAAATATTTATATGATAGAAATAAATATCCAACTTGAAAATACTTTTATATATTTGATATTTATTTTATTTCCGCATACGAAATTTGTAATAAATAAATTATATTTGATAGAGATAAATATTTATTTAAATCAAATAAATTTATTTACGTATAATAAATAGATAAATTCAAAATGTCAACTTTTTTTTTACACATTTATCGCAAAATACAAACCATCAAAGAAATATAAATCTTTGAGGGAATTACTTTTTTTTTTTCAACCGAGAGAAAACGTTCCTTTGCGTGTGTGAAATGGTGCAGATAATCTGTTGCGGAAACCGGATCCGAACGATTGAGCGTGACTCGCTAAATGTGAGATAAGCGATTCTTGGCAAGTTCTTAACCAATGACTTGTTGGAAGATAAAAAAAAAAAAAAAAAAAACAGAAAACAAGTCGATGAAACAAATAATAAAAAAAAAAAATGGAAGTATTCTGGCATGTATGAGAATATGTATTCAGCTGCGGTAAATGCACTTGGCGTGTGTCTTGGAAGCCGCGAATTTCGATTCTGGCATTGCGTTCCAAAAAGTCAAATGGAGGGATGGTGAATCTGCGGGTCATCTATCTTTCAAGGATAGTAAATGTAGTTGGCACGGTTCTCTGCTTCGCGTCGTCCATCTTGTTTTCTTAGATTAGACCCATATTCTCGAACGTCATACTTTCTGATAAAGTTTAATTTGATTCGTTATACGGGTCGAGCGATAACCGCCGCTTGGTGCTACATTCATTTATTATGAAAACCCTAAAAAAAAAAAGTTTCCACCCCTCTCAGTTTTTCAACACTATTTCTGCAATTTTTTTTTTTTTACAGCTCGTAAATAAAAACTTTGAAATTATGAACCAAAATACTGAGACAAAACTTAATTTTCCCCCTGTTATACTGACAATCAAAAACTACTTCATTTTTTATCGATAGAAAAAAAAAAATTATTACGAAAACTTTTTTCATATACCCCCCGAAAAAAAAGAAGTATAGTATAATTTTTATGAAGAACTTCATAAGTAGGTTTATGACTTTAGAAACTTTTTTTTTCGCGCTCGAATAGTTTTCCTAAAGAATTGGAAAAGGAAGGTGGAGGAAATTCGCAAGTTCACTTTCCTTTCCTCTTTCTTTTTTTTTTTTTTTACTTGCAAAGTGAAGACGATCATGTCTTGTGTGTGTCAAAAAGTTATCAAAAGTTACTTTACCAGCTTTCACGCTGACTTCACGACCCAGCACCTTGCCGACACTGTTGGAAGCTTGGCATCTGTAGACAGCCGAATGAACGTCGTGACGATAACTCTCAGCGCCAAATGGCAAGAAATACATGGATCCATTCACTAGCATTTCACGTATACGAGATATTGGCAAAACTTGTGAACCGTCGCTCATCACCCAATCGACGCGGGGTGTTGGACTACCCTGTGCCAAGCAGTGAATCATTGTTCCAGTGTCATTTGAAAATTCGATCACCGGACGTGGCTCTGATACCAGGACAGGTCCCTGGCTGTCCAGCACAATACCTCGTCCTGAAAAAGAAAAATGAGAGAGAGAATAATTTCATATTTTTCTTAATATAAACTGAGTTATTGAGAATTTATTTTTATTTTACAATTCTTGTTTTTTTTTTTATTTAGGAATTTAATTTTATTATTTAATTCCTTATTTCTTAATCTGATGTTCAGAAATCAGGTAATGTGATGTTAAAAAGGTTCGACTATTTTCCGTAGAGAAATTTTGAACGGGCCCTGCCAGGGCCAACAACGGGAAGCTCTAAATCCGCATGAAACAGGGAACCCGACAGGGGCCACGGAAGAAAGACCTATTTCAGTCCGATTAGAACCGTTGCCATAGAAACCGTTTCCATGACAACTGTTACTATGATAACTGTTTTAATAGCAACCCTTACCATGGTAACAATTCCATGGAACCATAGCAACAATTTCCATGACAACTGTTTCAATAGCAATCGTTACCATGGAAACCATAGCAACCGTTTCTACAGCAACTGTTTCCATGACAACTCTTTCAATAGCAGCCGTTTCCACGTCAACTATTTTCGTGACAACTGTTTCAATAGCAGCTGTTACCATGGAAACCATAGCAACCGTTTCAATAGAAGCTGTTTCCATGACAACTATTTCAATAGCAGCCCTTACCATGGAAACCATAGCAACCATTTCCATGACAACTGTTTCAATAGCAGCCGTTACCATAGAAACCATAGCAACCGTTTCCATGACAACTATTTCAATAGCAGCCCTTACCATGGAAACCATAGCAACCATTTCCATGACAACTGTTTCAATAGCAGCCCTTACCATGGAAACCATAGCAACCATTTCCATGAAAACTGTTTCAACAGCAGCCGTTACCATAGAAACCATAGCAACCGTTTCCATGACAACTATTTCAATAGCAGCCTTTACCATGGAAACCATAGCAACCATTTCCATGACAACTATTACCATAGAAACCCTTTCCATTCCAACTGTTTCAATAGCAGCCGTTACCATAGAAACCATAGCAACTGTTTCCATGACAGCTGTTTCAATAGCAGCCGTTTCCATGGCAACCATTTCCATGACAACTATTACCATAGCAACAGTTTCCATAGCAACTGTTTCCATGACAGCTGTTTCAATAGCAGCAGTTTCCATGGCAACCATTTCCATGGAACCATAGCAACCGTTTCCATGACAACTGATTCCATAGCAACTGTTTCAATAGCAACCGTTTTCATAGCAACTGTTTCAATAGCAGCCATTACCATGGTAACCATAGCAACCGTTTCAATAGTAACTGTTTCCATGACAACTATTTCAATAACAGCCGTTACCATGGCAACCAAAGCAACCATTTCCATGACAACTATTACCATAGCAACCGTTTCCATAGCAACTGTTTCCATGACAACTATTTCAATAACAGCCGTTACCATGGAAACCAAAGCAACCATTTCCATGACAACTATTACCATAGCAACAGTTTCCATAGCAACAGTTTCCATGACAGCTGTTTCAATAGCAGCCGTTTCCATGGCAACCATTTCCATGACAACTATTACCATAGCAACAGTTTCCATAGCATCTGTTTCCATGACAGCTGTGTCAATAGCAGCCGATTCCATGGCAACCATTTCCGTGGAACCATAGCAACCGTTTCCATGACAACTGATTCCATAGGAACTGTTTCAATAGCAACCGTTTTCATAGCAACTGTTTCAATAGCAGCCATTACCATGGTAACCATAGCAACCGTTTCAATAGTAACTGTTTCCATGACAACTATTTTAATAACAGCCATTACCATGGCAACCAAAGCAACCATTTCCATGACAACTATTACCATAGCAACCGTTTCCATAGCAACTGTTTCCATGACAACTATTTCAATAACAGCCGTTACCATGGAAACCCAAGCAACCATTTCCATGACAACTATTACCATAGCAACAGTTTCCATAGCAACTGTTTCCATGACAGCTGTTTCAATAGCAGCCGTTTCCATGGCAACCATTTCCATAGAACCAGAGCAACCGTTTCCATGACAGCTGTTTCAATAGCAGCCGTTTCCATGGCAACCATTTCCATAGAACCATAGCAACCGTTTCCATGACAGCTGTTTCAATAGCAGTCGTTTCCATGGCAACCATTTCCATAGAACCATAGCAACCGTTTCCATGACAACTGTTACCATAGCAACTGTTTCCATGACAACTGTTTCAATAGCAGCTGTTACCATGCTGATTATTCAAATTAGAAAAAACTTGTGAGGCCCTGATCAGTGCCTTTTTTAAAATTTAATGAACACTTTATTTGGGATTCAGACCGGAATTTCTGGACAAACTCCTAAAATAAAAGAATGATTTAAAAACTGTTATAAAATATTCACCTTAAAGGTGTAACAATTTTTTTTAAATAGTATTATTTTTATTTATTTGTGGTGATTAATTTTTTGTAAACTAGGAAAACTAGTGAGGCGCTGTTCAGTTATTTTTGAAAAATGGAGAAATGTGACGATTTCTGCGCGTAAAAATTAAATTAAAAAGTTTAAAAATCCAATTACATAATATATAATTAAAATCGTTAATCCACATTAGTGACGTATATATCGGTGAAAAAAATATGTCAAATACAAATTAATGAATATATATATATGTGAATGAAGCTTTTATTCAAACCATTATACAGTACAAATACACATACTCGCGAACGAGCACCTGTGCGTAAATACATGCATGTTGAACTATACAAACGGTTTCTGCAAAGGTGCCCTGTATTTGCTTTGTACTGATTAATTACAGAGCATTCTACCGTTCTATCTCTATTTCTCTCTCCCTCTCTCTCTCTCGTGACATTATCATCAACCTCAGTTTCTCGTTGTATTAGTTCAGAAAAACGTGCTCGCGTCAACTCGATAGTTTTCAAAACTCGAGAGAAACGATAAAAAAAAAAAAAAGAAAGAAAGAGATGATGATGAAACAAAAAGAAGTTTTTGGCTTGTTCCACAATTGTACAACAGATAACGAAAAAAAAAATGAGAGAGAAATGAAAACAAGATGTGTGGAATCATTGATGAATCCAAGTTGGATCGTGTCGTTGAATAGAAATGTCAAACTATATGCATTGGTTTGCCGCATTTTGATGCGAGAGATTTTATCGCTTTTCAGAATTTCTCTTCTGACGAGTCACACAATCGCACCTCGCAAAATCGACACAAGCCCCGCAATTTCAAATTTATTGACTCGTAACATTTTGAGAATCAAAACGTAATTTGAACGCCCAGTACTACTACTACTACTACTACTATATATATATATGTACTTGGAAATGTAATCTAACCATTCATAAATCATGTTTCAATTGTCAATCTCAATGATAAAGAAAAAAAAAAACAATGTCCAGTTCATTTCGTTGTTCTTATTAAAAAATTTTTTTTTTCTAAAAATATTAATACGTTTTAAGTTTATCAGCTGTAAAAAATTTTTGGAGAGGATTTTTCTTTTATTGCTTACATAAAACGAGGTTGAATAAAAATTTATGTCTTTTTTTTTTATTATTTTTAATGGTTTTTTTTTTTATTAAAATATTTTATATAGATTTATTATTTGAATTTTTTTTTATGCTTTATGTAATTGTATAAAAAATATTTAAATCTCTGAATTACTCGGCTACTAATAATGAAGAGGATTTAATAATTTTAATGAAGCTTTTTCAATATTTCTATATATATTTTTTTGTTATTGATTAAATTTGATATCTAAAGAGGGAAAAATAAATTCCAATTCTCATTTGCAATATACAAAAGATTTTCTGTCTCTCAATGCATTCCGGTATAACAATTATAAATCGATTTGCAACATGAGAGTCTCTTTCATAATAATTATTATAATTTTCACTTTTTTTTTGTTTGCGCATAAAGAAAAGAATTTATAATTATTTTAGATATCAATTTTTTTTTTAAATCAATATTTGTTGTTCGACATATATACAAGCTTTATTAAAATATTCAAATATAAATATCTTTATTATTAAATCGGAAATTAATAAAAATGGTTTTATATCTGATATTAAAATTAAATTAAATTTGTAAAAATCATTTTGCGATATTAAATTTAAAACATCTTTTTTTTTTGCCTCGCTTATGAGATTTTTATAATTTCATCAATGCATGTATGCGACATTTCTGTCTCCATCTCTCTCTTTTATTTTTCTGCCTTCTTTTCTCAAGTAGAATTTTCCAAGCAGGCGAAGCAATATCGAAGAAAATCGAATTGTGAAATGGAAAGAAAAAAAGGGGTTGGGGGGGGGAAAGGGATCTTCCTGATTTTTCTGTGCAACGGAAGAAGGGGTAGGGGGGGACCACAAGAGAGCTAAGGCGGCATTTCTGAACGAGTTAAGCCATCCAAATGTTGATTCCAGGAAAATACTTGATCATTCTCAACGAAATCCAATGATTTCCATTGAACCATATAAACAAATCTCTTTGGATTTGGATTTCCCAAAAAAAAAAGAAATTTAAGCTTCAAATTGTTTTTTGGAAAAAATCCTTTTCATTTTTCGCAACAAAAAAAAAACTACATTCAAAAAGCGTTAACAATATATATTCACAAAGCGTTTATTGTCGACGGAAATCAAACCGAAGGAAGTGTCGGTTATAACTATAGGTCGCTTTAGTGCAAAAGAGATGCTCGTAAAATCCACAAATGTGTTTCGAAGCAAAGCGAATGGCGCAGACAGATAGGACATAACACGGAAATAAAACCAGAAACTAGTTGGGAGATTTGAATAATCCCGTCTGTTTCGCGAATCGATTACATTCCTCTTTCTCTCTCTCTCTCTCTCTCTCTCTTTCTCTCTCACTCTTTCTCTGAGCATAGCATCTGAATTCGTTGAATTTTAATAAGGTTTTTAGCCTTGTACTTTCTTCAATTCCGAAACCTCCAAGTATGTATGCAAATAATCTACTTCCCCCTTTGGAGCTCTTACAGTATCACTCTCTTTACCTTCGAATTATAGACATTTGA